CCCCGCGGGGACCCGGGACCCGGCCCCCGCAGGGCACCTAGTCCCAGCCACCCCGCGGGGACCCGCGACCCCAGTATCCGGCCACACGGGAGGTGGGGCACCCTGGCCACTGGAGCCCCAAGTTGGGATCTCCGCCAGAGCCTGTGGGAGTCTCGGCCCTAGAGGAGCCGGCTCCCCTTCTCCGGTGCTCAGGCCTTACCCTGAAGGCACACGGCACCAGGGTGCCCTGTGGACTTGAGCTTCCGGGCACCCCACCTTCTCCACCCCACAGCCACTCGGGTGTCTGAGGGCTCTAGACCTTCTCCTTCCTAAGATCGTCGTTGTCTGTCCCGACCCCTCTCAGTAAGGGCTTATTTCTCTTTTTAAACCTGTTCATAGAAGGGAAGAATTCAAAGAGAGGCTGTTGCCGAGGCATGGTGATACACGCCTGTCGTTCCAAGCAGCCCTCCGAGGAGGCTGAGGCAGGAGGGTTGCAAATTCCAAACCAACCCAGATAATTTATCAATTTAGTAAGACTGTGCCTCAAAATTTAAAAAACTAAAAAATTAAAAGAGGTTGGGGACGCAGCTCAGTGCGTAGTCCCTGAGTTCAATCTCCAGTACCAATAAATAAATACATACATACAGCGGTCTGCAGTGCAGCCTCCCATGGGCACCCCAGAAGTAGAGAGAGGATACGGGGTGTGGAGCTGGGGGCTGGGTGACAAGTTGGCCCTGCCTGTCTGGGTCTGGGAAGGTCCTCCTCATACTGCTCCTCCTCCTCCTGCTCCTCCTGCTCCTCCTCCCCGTCCTGCTCCTCCTCCTCCTCTTCTTCCTCCTCCTCCTCCCCGTCCTGCTCCTCCTCCTCCTCCTCCTCCTGCCCTGCCCAGGAGACTGTTCTGCTCCCTCCAGGGGGCGCCTGCACTCAGTCACTTCTCCACCCCCGCTTGGGTGTCCCCCACTCTCCTGAGAGCTCTGCCACCGGCCGCAGTGTTGGGAGGCTGAGGGCAGGTGACGGGAGAAACCTCAGAGCCAGGTGTCACAGGGCCACGGTTTGGAGTGTGAGACCCCAGAGCAGAGAGGAGTCTGGCTTCAGGGTCCACATTATCAGAAAAGGCGGCCAGGTGTGGCCGCGGGCCGGTGGCAGGGCTCCACAAACCGAGTGTCCGGGGCCAAGCACAGACCTGGGCTGCGGGCTCCAGCACCTGAGGCCTCCCGGCTTCCCTCGTTGCCCCCTCCCCCGCTGAGGCCGGGGCTTGCCGACCCCCTCCTTCCACACAGCCCAGTCTTCACGGGCCTGGGGCTGCCAAAGCCCCCCCACCGCAGCCTCCC